CACTCATGTGCACATGCCCACATGTATATACACACACACATACACACACACACAATTAAAAATAAATTTTAGAAAAAAGACACCTGTGACCCAACAGTTGTCTTGGGAAGGCAGAGCACGTATCACCTCCTGGGATTCAGCTCTCCACACTGGTTGACAGATTTCATTTATTCGTTTTTGCTCTTTTTCATTATAGTCTAGATATAATGCAGTATTGACTGACTTTGGTTTAGTTTGGTTTGGTTGAGACAGAATCTAATGTAGCTGAGACTGACCTTGAACTGCTGATCCTCCACCTTCCAAGTGCTGGGATGACAGACATGCATCACAAAGCTCAGCATGTGTTTTTATGAAATAATCCCTATATAAATGCGTAGTTTGTCACCCTTCAGAAAACAAAAGTGCCACAGATTTGTCTGAGTATCTGTGATTTCTGACAATAACTACCCAATTCCTAAAAGGAATTGCTGGTGATCAGTATCTTAGACATGACATTGGCTTAACAGCCCCAGAGGTGTGAGGAACCCAGACGCCTTACAGCAAAGGGAAAGGAAAAAGCTTAGAGTGCCTTCCAGCCCCATTCCTAAGCAGGTGTCAACAAACCTTCTCTGTAAAAACTTGGAGAAGAGATGTCTGAGGTTGAGTGGCCCTATGGTTTCCATAAAAGCTATTCAACTCTGGCTAACAGCAGCCATAAAGGACGCATGAATGACAGGATTGGCTGAGGGCAATAAACTTCTTACACACCATGAGATTTGATTGGTGTCAAACTTTACTGTGTCAAAAGATCCTTTTTATTTTAGATGTTTTTCCCCCAATTAATCAAAACCCTGAAAACCATTCTTACGCAGCCTATACAAAGCTGGAAGGAGAGGTACCACCAGACCGAGGAGCTATGCCCCATCTCTCATTTATCCTAGATGATCATAGACACTGGCTGCAGATAATGGCACATTTTTCCTACTGATGACAGTTTTAAAACTAAGGATCTCCTTATGACCGTCTCCACCCTCTCTTTTTGAAAACCACCAATGCTTAGGTAGTTACCACCATGACTAAATCTAAACCCACACCCAAAACAGTCAAACAACTCTTCCTTGGACACTTTTTTTTTCTTTTTGATTTTTTAAATATTTTTTGAATTTTTTCAAATTTCAAGAACTTATTTTGATGGTGTTTCAATCTCCTCCCCTATCTGTATCCCCTTTACAACTCCCCACCTAATTTCATACACACACACACACACACACACACACACACACACACACAAACTTAAAGAGTCAGGTTTGTGTCCCCAAATGTCCTTCGGTATAGGTTCATCCACTAGAGCCTGGTTAACTACAAAGAGTCTCACCCTTAAATAAGAATGACTTTCCCCCTCCCATCTGAAGCCAATAGTTCCTCAGAAAGGGTTGGGATTTCTTACCCACTTCCTCATGTCTATGCTGAAATTTTGTCTGGCTTGAGCTTATATGGGACTTGCGCATGCTGTCACTATTGCTGTGAATTCTTATGAGTAACTGACCAGCTGTCTAGAAAATTCTGTTTCCTTGTGGTCATCCACCTCCTCTGGCCCTTACAATCTTTCCACCCTCTTTTTGATTTTTTTAAGGCAGGGTATTATTCTGCAGCCCAGTCTGAACTGGAACTTACTCTGAGGCCCAAACTGGCCTTGAACTCCCAGCAATCCTCTTGCCTCAGCTTTCCTAGTATTGGGATGAACCACCCCACCTGGCTTTCCTGGACCCTTTTTAGTTAAGAGTGTTAAAGTACCTCTTCATGTAAGAATAGACATACCAAGAAAAGGCACTTGGCTGTAGATGACAGAACAGACCCTGTCATATGGACCCCATACTCCCGAAGAAGAAAAAATTAAACACAGCTTATACACTGTCTAATCTCTGTGGTAGAAACACAATATAGAAGTTACATGGAGGGGGCAGTACTTACAGAAGCTCCTTGGAAACAGGAAGTACTGAGGTTTCTTTCTCTGTGCCTCCCTTCCTTCTGAGAAGCCCAGTTTGGGCACCCTTCTGTTCTCACAAGATTCCAGGATGATGTCCTGATATCTCACTAGAATCTAGGGTGATGGCTTTCAGTGCTGCTCCTCCTCATTTGTGGAATGAGAAGAAGCAGGCAGGTCATTGCTCTTTTCCCCTGAGCAGGGCTCTCCCTCCCTCCTCAGTAGACCCTTAATCCAATGGAGCCCACCCACACCCAAAGGGTGGGAATGTCCTTATGTATTGCCAGAGCTTCCGTAACACACAAGCTGATAGAAAATAAATGTGTTTCCCTTGTCGGTTTGCCTAGTGTTACTGGTGCCTTAGCCATGAGCCTTGCAATGGTGGGAAACCATCACCTTTTCTCCTCTACCAGGGGAAATAAAGATACTCTCAATTACATGCTAGGAATAATGTGCTATGCTGCCAATACTGGCCTCCTATCCGAGTAGTAACCAGGCCTGGCCATGCTTAGCTTCTAGGTCAGATGATAGCAGAAAGCAGTCAGGGTGGTATGGCCATAGACCACTGCTGAATCAGGCTGACCTCCGGCTCCTTCCGAAAGGGTCATGAAGACTTTACTCAGTTCATGTTAGCAATGGAAGCTGATGCTGCCAGGGTCAGCACACTCATGAGTCTGTGTTACAGTGATGGCAGCCAGCAAGCACACCTTTTTGGGTTTTGCTGCTGTCAGGTTTAATTTTTGGAGGGAAGAGTCACACAAGTTTCACTACATTGTCCAGGCTGGCCTAGAAATCACAGCAATCCTGCCTTAGCTTCTCCAGTGTTGGGACTACAGGTCTGCACCACCACACCCAGCAGGGATCTCCATGGCACCTACTTGTCATTACTATTCCAGAGATGACAAGAGAAGTTGACACTGATGAACTGGCTTACAATTCACTTAACAATTGCTCTGAATGGGCTAAAAGGGTCTGTTTTGTAAAGTACATGACCAATAACCACCTTAAGGAGGAGGGATGCCACTGCATCTGAGGTTCTGCTTCTCTTCCAGAAAGAAAGTGTCTTAGCAATGAAGTAACCACCTGGAATTTTCACATTGTCTGCAGAACCATTTGGAAGCCATAGGGATATCAAATGTGTGCTATGATGGTGTCGGTGCAAAATCAACAAAGAGGAGAGAGCCTTTGACTCAACAACAGTCTATTCATAACAAAAGTTCACTGATCTGTTGATTTTACAAACCAAGAGTCCCCCTTTTTTGTCTGGTTTATCCCTAAATGCCCTTGCTCTCATTTCTTAAATGAACCCTTGTTTCTTCCAGACTTTCTTTCTCTGGAACTACAATGCAGCCTGAATACCAATAATAAAGCATCCACCCCTGCTGCCCTTTATTCTAGGAGCTGCAATATCTCCTAATCAAAGGAGACACAAGTATTTCCCAGAAGACATACGATCTGAACTTGCTTTGGACACCTAATTCAGTATAAAAGATATTGTGATTATACGTGAGCTTTGTCCAGACAGGAAACCCCACCTGGGAAAAGCAAACACATTCTCTTCCTTATGACCTTCCTCCCCTGCCTGTCTCCCAGGCCCCACAGAAGCTGCTATCATCTTCAAACCCTCATCCAGCATTGAGAGTCAGTTGTGAAGTTTCCAGAAGCCAGCAGAAATATTCAGTTCTATGGAGGAGGAACGATTTGCACTTTGGCACAAATAGAATCCAAAAAGAAACTGGCTAATCTGAGGCGAAAAGCTGGGCGAAGACAGCAGGGGTGATGTTGAAATAGAATCTGAAGTTTGGGCATCAGAGAAGCAAGCCTTCCTGGGAAAGTGAGCCAACAGGTTTGTCTTGTTTGGGTATCCTTTTAACACAGTTTTAAAAATACCACAGTACAGGCAAGCACTCTCCACCTGTTTGTTACAGGATATAGTTCTGTCAGTTCAGTAACTCACCCAAGAATTTTGCAGTCTGGACAATGCATGGTTACTTCTTATTGAATGATTGATAAAGAGAACCCACTGGCCACCGTCAAAAGAAGTTGTTCAGGCCTGGCCTGGGAGGCAGAGGGGGACAGGATGAAGAAAGGGTTGGACTATCCCAGATGATGTTGAGTCACCTGTTGAGGTGAGGCTGGGGCATCTTGGTAAAACTCACAAGTCCCAGATTCTGGAGTGTCCCAGGGGAACTGTGTGACCTTGTGCCTGACAAAACGGACCATTTTAAAGATTGGATCTCATGCATAAAAAAGAAGGAACTGTGCTGGCAGCCTTTGAGATTTTCTCCAGCTGTCCATACACCTATTTATATCTCCACCCAGACCTGAGTGCCTCACTAGCAGTGGCTGAGAAAAACTTGGCTTGCCTTCATCTATTCTAGTGCTGTGCAGCCCCAGGGGCATGGATGTATTTTGCTCCCAGGACACAGCTGGATTTCCGAGCTCCCTACAGAAAGTGGAACCTCAAAGTTTACTGAGAGCCCCAAAGAGCTGAATTATAAATAACTTCTGAATGGGGAGCAGCATTGTGTTGGGCCACAGGCCCTGTTTTAGTACCTCTTTCCCTCCCACCTTCCTCCTGCTCTGAAACCTCATGGGCCTGTATGCTCAGAGGTCACCTGCCAAGAGCAGAATGATGTCACTCCACTGTCCCCAAAGTGCCTCCAAGGTCCAGAGGGGCTGAAATACAAATATCTCTACAGGAAGGAAAGGACAGCACAGTCTTAAAGGTGACCCCTTCAGGTGACCCGTTCAGATGTCATTATTGAATTCCTCCAAGGAGCCCTGAGCGCTCTGGGATGGGGCCAGGAGGAGGTTAAATGCCCTTGGAAGATCAGTTACTCCCAGTTATCCCCCATTAGATTGCCAGATGTCACTGATCCACCTGCCCATCAATCTCAGGGTATTCCACAGTTATCAAGCAGCAAATGAAGCCCTCCAGCCGCTCAGGCCAGGGGCTAGGGACCACTCCCCAAGAGTTACAGCGGTGACATCCAAATCGGGCTCCCAGGTCACCTAGCTGGCTGAGGGCTGCGGGTCACCGCAGAAGGCCAGAGACGCACGGGACAGGGCTGGAGAGGCCCGGGCGCCGCGGGGACAGGAGCCTGGGGTGCTGGGTGGGGCGAGGTGCTGCGGTGGCCTTACCTGTGGTGGAGAGCACCGTGCTGGCGAAGAAGAGCGCGGAGGTGAAGTCCCAGTTCCAGTTGCCTGAGGCGTTGCTGAGCACCGACACGCCGTAGTTGCTGGCCTCCAGCACCCGGCCCAGGAACTGCTCCAGCTGCGGCTCGGACAGGCATCCGTGTTCCTCCAAGAAGCGCCGCTTCAGCTTGCGCAGCTCCTGGCGTAGCAGGTCCTCGTAGGGCAGCTCGACCGACGAGAAGACCACGGCCCCGAACACCAGGTAGAGCAGGTAGCCGAGCACCAGGAAGCCGAAGCACCAGGCCGAGCGGTGCCGCTCCACCAGGCGCACGCAGGAGCTGCCGGCCAGGGACTGCAGCATCTTTCCCTTCGCCAAGGCCGAGGCCCCGCACAGCCCAGCCAGCCCGGCTCAGCGCGTCCTCCCGCCGATTGGCTCGCTCCCGCAGCGCTCCTCTCCCCTTTTCCTGGTTCCCTAGTAAATATAAAAAGCCCAGATGATGTGGCGGTGACGTGGTCGCCGGCTCAGGTAACAGAGAATCCCGGCAAACTTGGCCTGAGCTCTGGGCTGCACAGCCTGGCTCCGCGCGCCCCCTATCTAGGAGCCTTTTGCCTGACCCGGAAAGTGCAGGCTTGGTGGCCCCAGACCCCTGGCCCTGGGTCACCAGCAAGGTTGCCCGGCAAACTTGCAACCTGCTCCCCCGTGCAGTCACTAAATCTGAATCTGATCTCTCTCTCTCTCTCTCTCTCTCTCTCTCTCTCTCTCTCTCTCTCTCTCTCTCTCGTTATTCCTGTTTCCCACGCATTTCTGCCCGATTAAAGCCACTGTCACCAAATAGCAAGAGCCATATTCTGCCTTTCTGTCTTGTTGGTTGGACATCTGAGTCATTTGGTGCCAGAGATGGCGAAGATACCAGGAAACTCCCTCTGAAAGGCACCTTGAAATCTCTTCCAACCCCCCTGGCCTGGCACAAAAAGGACCTGAGAATGAGGAATGGTTTGGGGTCAATTTATGAACCTTAATAATTTAAAGCAAAGCCTGGATTCCAAGGTACTTCATGGTCAGGGGAGGGAAATGCTGTCAAGGCATGCTGAGTACCTGATGGTGGATGAGATTGTAAAACCGGGTATTGCACTTCTATGGAGACGTGGCTGTGTGCGACCTCTCTCAGTGAGATGTCCTAAGAAAAATAGTCATGAACATAAGACTGACCATTACAGTGTCTGTTATGTGTCTGTATCATAGTCACACATGAAGGTGTGTATACGTAATTATATGCACAAGTAAAGAATTAAGAACATTCTAAACACTCCAAAATAGGGGAATGGGAGCTAGGAAGATGGCTCAGCTGGTAAAATGCTTGCTGCTTCAGCATGAAGACTAGTTTGGATCCCCAGTACCCACATAAAAAGTTAAATGTGGTGACAAGAACCTGTAACCCCAGTAGTGGGCAACAGAGGCAGGAGACACAGGAGCTTGGCAGTCAGCTTGTTTTGTTGAACTAGTGAGTTCATATTCAATGAAAGCGATTGAAGAAAACATCTGATCTCAATCTCTGCTTTCCACATGCATGAGCTCACAAGTATACACACGTGAACACATAAATATGCATACAACACTCACACACACACAAACAGGGAAGTGGTGAAGTAAGCTCTGCTACCTCAATAGTACGGATGACATAGAAGCCTTTAAAACACTTATTTTAAATATTTTTGTTATTATTTTGTGGTGTGTGTGTGTGTGTGTGTGTGTGTGTGTGTGTGACAGCAAAGGTAGGTTTGTGCCATAGTACACACATGGAGGGCAGAGGGTAACTTTCAGGAATCAGTTCCCCTTTTGGGTTCCAGGTACCAGACTCAGGTAGTCAGGCTTGGCAGGCACTTTTACCTGCTGGGTCAACCTGCTTGCCCAGATGACATATAACCTTTAAAGATGAGTTTGGAGACTGAGGAGGCATAAGCAAACCTGCATAGAATCCCAAATATTTATATTTTGTATTCTAAAATAGAATTGTCTCTTCAAAACAGATGGGTTACACAGAAACAGAGTGCTCCCGGAGGTTGTCTGTGGGGGATCTTAGAGAAGCAATTTTCATTTTAAAAATATTTTTCAAGTTTTCTACAGGAGATATTTTGCAATCAGAAAAAAAAGCATTGAAAAAAAACCAAATTGCTCAAGTACTTACAATCAATCCCTCACTGAACATCTGCCTGTGTAACAGAAGTGCTTTTAAAAAATTGTATTTTGCATTTTCGCAGAAACACGCATGAAAACATGTAGAAGACTCGTCAGTGGTTTTTAATTTTAGTGAAGAATTTCACCTCCTGTCTTACTCAGAGACTGAAGCCATCCCTCTCCTCACTGTATTCAGAGTCTTCTTATTGGTAATCCATTCTTTCCTTCTTCCCCTCTCTCAAGCACAAATACACCTTTAAATTTTTTTTCCCTTTAATGCTTTCATTTTTTATTTTTTGTGTATGAGTATGTTACCTGCATGTTTGTTAGTGCACCTGTGTTGTGCAATGCTCTCAGAGGCCAGAAGAGGAGGATGCCCTGGAACTGGAGTTACAAACAGTTTTAGCTGCCGTGTGGGTGCTGGAATTTGAACCCAGGTCTTCTTCAAGAGCAGCCAGTGCTCTTAACTGCTGAGCTATCTCTCCAGTCCTCAAACATACTTTCTTATTTTCTAGATGGAGCCACTAGCCCATCACGCTGAGTCCGCAGTTTCTGGGGCATTTACCATCTGCCAGTGCTCAGCTGTATTTGAGAACCTGAGTCTTCCTCCTCTGCCCATACCTTTTCCTACAAATGAGCTCAAGTCTCCATCTAACACTGTCCTCTGAGGTGTTCTTTAAACTGTGCTAACCTACCCTGTCCTGAGACTGTCTCTTCCTGGAGAATACCTCAGGGTCTACAGCTTGCCCACTTCCAGACTGTCCCACTCTACTTTCTGTGCCTGCTTGAAGATACGAATACACAGCTTTCTGCTCTTCCTCCTGCCATGCCTCCCCACCATGAGGGACTCTTATCTCCCTAGAACCTGAAGCCCAAATAAACTCTTCCTTCTATTAGTTGCCTTAGTTATGGTGTTTTATCACAGCAACAGAAAAATAACTAATACAGATACAGTTCATCACGGCAGGGAAGGTATGGCATCGGAAGTGAATGCTTGTTCACATCTGGACTAGTTAGGAAGCAGAGAAAGGACGTGAAGCAGAGGAGGCTATAAACTCAAGACCCCCGCCCCCAGACCACCAGTGATGCCACTTCCTCCAGCAACGCCCCACCCCCTAAAGGTTCCACAACCTCCCACAATAGTGTTGCCAGGTGGGGACCAAGTGTTAAAACAGGTGAGCCCATGGGAGACATTTCATATTTGAACCATGACCCTTCCTTAAGTTTTCTGTCAAGGATTCTGTCACAGTGTCAAGAAAAGTTAAGGGGAGGCCCTCTAAGTCTCTGTGATTCTATCTTCTGTGAAGTGGCCATGATAACTGTATCACTTAGGGTTAGGAGGATAAATGAGAGATTGCTTGTGAAGTGCTTGGCATCCTGGTGGACACAGAAAAGAGCTCTATAAATCTCTGTGAAATTACAAAGTGACAGGCACTATGCTCTTTTGCTCTCACAGAATCTGTAACTCACAGTATGGCACCTGGCACAGAGTAGACGTGAAATAAATATTTATAGAATAAAAATAAGTGGAGGAATCAGGAAGAGTCCAAGGGCTGGAAATGGAGAACTGGGGAAGGGGACCCATGATAGGTAATCTTTATTGTCGACCAGATTTCAGATCACCTAGGAGGCACATCTCTGGGCACGTCTGTTAAAGGTGATTCCAGAGAGTTTTAACTGAGGTTTAACTGGAAGACTCCTCCTGAATGCTGGTCCAACAGTCCATGAACTGGGTTTCCCAGCTAAAAAGAAGTGGAGAAAGTAGGAAATGAGCTGAGCAGCAGCATTTGTTTCCCTCTGCTTCCTGACTGTGGATGCAATGAGACCAGCTGCCTCATGTTCCTGCCACCATGCCTCCCCCACCATGATAGACTGTGTCTTCAAACTGTGAGTTAAAAATGAATCTCTCTTGTTATAAGTTACTTCTTGCCAGGGATTTACAGCAATAAGAAAAGTAGCTGACACAGGGCTGCTCACTGGGAGTTTGGTGGGAACAAAGCAGCTTTGATCCGTTGTCCCCTCAAGCTGCAGCATCTTCTGTTCACTTGTGAACCTTCTCAAGTCTTCAAGAGCGTCACACACTTCTGCTGCCTCTGTCTTCAGGAGCGTCACACATGCTTCCATGGTCTCTTTTCTTTGGAGTCACATCTTTGCCTGGAATGAATAATTTTCTCTTCTCTGGTCATCTTCTGTCCAATGGCTGCCTGCTCCAGGACAGCTTCCCTAGTGCCTGCTGTTTCTGACCTTGAACTCTCAGAGTGTCCATGGAAGGTCATTTATATAGTGCTGTGCGTCTTGCCTTGTAAGGTTACTTTTGTTTCTAGGTCTCTTGCTCTTGGCTGAAGTGCACAGAAGGTTCTCATGAAAGGACTCAGAAAAGAATTGAGACAAATAACCAATAGTGTCCACCACAGAGTAAGGAGGAAGTGGGAACTGCAGTTGATCCAGTGGCTTTTATTTCATCAGTGAAACAGGAAGTGAGATGATGCTTAGGGCAGCTCACAAGATGAACAATGAGCAGTGGGTTCGAGGCAAAAAAAAGGAGAGAACCGACTATAGAAACAAAGTGGGAATTCTGAAATATACCAAAACACCAGTGAAATCAGAGACTACGGATTTTCATAGTTAATGATCCGGTAATAATCAGATCTGCCATGTTCTTCGGTATTCTTGACTAGGTGATGTACTAAGAGTTGGGAAGGGTGAAGGAACCAGAGAACTGAAGTGTTTCTTTACAATATCAAGGATCATGGTGTCCACACCACATAGGGAAGGGAACGAGGGCACCGTGGGGCCAAGAAATCAAAAGGAAATGCAGAATTGACTGACTGCTGCTCCTCCTGAGGTAGGGGGGTAGTTACACTCAGAATGTGGGAGCCAGGGATGAAGGGAGCAGAAATCACATCACAGGTGGATTAACCACTTTCGCCTCATTATCCCCAAATGCCTGACTCAATTGACTTAAAGGAGGACATGTCTATTTGGCTCAAGGTTTCAGATTTCATGTCTTAATCATCTCCACTGATTTTGGTGAAGCAAGCATCATGGTGCCAGGAGCACATGGCAGAGGCCACTCACCTCATAGCAGATAGGAAACATACAGAGAGAGAGAGAGA